CGCGTTTCAGTGCTACATAACTTGCACGAGTCATCAGAACACAATTAATAGGAGTGCGGAAAATACAGGATGAAAATTCAGTTCTCCGCAGAGCAGCTTGGGACGCGGTAAAAGCTTAGCTGATCAGTTCAGATCAGTAAAATCGAATATGGGCCATCCAGGTGAGCATTTAGGGTGGCTGGAAGAAACGGTCTCTCCACAGCCTTTGGTTCAAATAAAGTTATGGGCCGATCCCCATGAGTGGGTATTAGCCATATGTGTGGCGTCATCATCATCATAATCATCATCACGTGCAGCGTGAGGCCGTGGAGCGCGCTTTTTCTCGCAACGGTTTTCTTCCTTCTTTCCGAAGCCGCCATCTGCTTTAGACGCTCTCCGGTCACTGACCCGCCTCCTCGATTCATATTCGCCTGTTGCAGTATGCGTGGAGAGTCATCACTCGCGTTCCTGCACAAGACTCGCGCTCGGCGTGGTGCCCAGTCTTTTGGCATCAGCAAAGGCATGGCCGCCACCATCTTTACTGTGATGTCTCTCGTGGGAGTGTGCGGCGTCGCTACGGTGCTGACGCTCATCGAGCGCGACCTGGGGCAGGACGTGACTTGACGAGACCGTGAGCAGCTCTGCCAACAGAAGCGTGCTTCCCATTCGAAGAGACGCCGCGCCTCCACGAACAGCGCCAGATGAACTGCACGTCCATCCGGAGCATTCGGCTTCGCTCTCGGCTGACAAGGATCAAGGGTGTCTTACAGAAGAAACACGGGAACGAAAGCGCGCCGCATAACGTCCTCACGATGATGTTCAAGCTTCTGGAGATTCGCTACGGTACCTCTGTAGCCGACAACAACGCAACGGCGGCTTTCACGAGCTATGAGGACCACAGGGAGAATGACTTAAATACGCCCGTAAAGAACGGAAGCGAAATAGTGGCCGAAGGCTTGGTTGATTTAGACGTACACCAAATCTCGTTCGAACAGGCCTTCGAGATTGTCTTCACTGCAGGGATCGTCGACGCACCAGTTCTCGACGTCAGGGCCCACAAGCAGGGCGGCTTCTACAGAGTCGTCCTTCACGCATCTTAGGGCCAAGGAACCACCAACAAAGACGTCAGAAGAGACACGCACCACTAGCAGCATCGATGGACACGCGGTGGACGTCGAAGCGAAGACGGGCGCCGTGAGGAAGTATCATGCCTCGTCGGGTTTGCTGTTCTGCTTCTACGATGACCGCAGTACCATCCGTTCTCCGGGCTTTTCCGTGTACGACTTCCCCGTGCAGCTGTGCACGGACGTCGCCTTTTGCTGCGTAGACGTAAACGCCAAAGGCCAGGTGGTGGTCAGCAAGAGACTCAAACTGTTCCTGGAAGTCGTCGGTCATGAGTTTCTACCAGCACGTCACCTGTTCCTGACCTTGGGCGGCCACCGCCTGTTGGTGCACCACATGGACGCAGCCCTGGGAAACACCGCTCGCTTTGCCACCGACCTTTCCGAAGAGCTCCTAAGAATGGGCGTCTGGAGGGCTGGCCGTCTACATCGAGGACGTGGAACTCTTGAAGCACGCTGCACGCGTCCACGACCTCCTCATGGCCGTGCGGGGCGTGACCGTAGCGGTGGTGTTGCCGCGAGATTTGCGGCAGCAGGTGCGATACTACCACACCGAAATATACGCCAACACAAAGGACATGCTGGTCATCTCGCCACCGTCGCAGGGCTACGGTGGCAGGCAGCCGCAGCTGGGTTTCGCCACCTGTCCACACCCTCGCCGCAGCGTCCACGAAGGTTCGTCGCTCGAGTTCATCTACCAGCTCTCGAAAACCCTGCTGTCTCCCATGGAGAACGATGACGTGGACTACGCATCTAACAGCGTCACTGTGGACGAGCAGATTCCGGTGCCTCGTTGCCTCATCGGCGTCTCCCTCGGTGGCCTCAAGTTCAAACTGAAGAACCGTAGTCGCCACGACGTCGGGTCGCCGGCCACATTTCGTTCGCACCGTGCCGTACCGCGAGATTTGCAGGCAGCAAGGTTGGCGCCAATGGCACGACAACGTGAGCGAGTGTTTCGTGGCCTGGGACGGCGACCGAGGATGGATGTCCTCGCTGGGGCCGCAAAGCACCGGTTTCGCCGCGGAAATGGCCAACGGCTTGGCCGTGTTCGACCTGGACTTCGACGATTATCTCGGAGAATGTGGCAACAAGTTCCCCGTGTTGAGAGCGCTTCGCACCGCGCTGAACGCCTGACGCCCGCGAGCACACGTGCATTTACGAGGCTGCATTTGTTACTTAGGTTCTGTTTTATTGATACTTGGGAATTATTATACCATCCACGCTATTTTTCTACATTGCATGATCGCTGATATTGTGATTTATTTACGTATTTATTTGTTATTTTGTTCATTTATTCATTTATTTGTAACCATGAAATGGAGGGCATTGCAGATATTTTTGCAAATACGAAGTTCGAGTTACGCGTATACTTTCCTTATTACCCGCCCTAATTATTCTCCTTGCGAAGTTAGCGTGAGCGACATTCAAATCCTTCAGATAATGAGGGTGGCGATTTGGGCTTGTTGGTATGGTTGCATGATGATGGATGGTAGCGCAGACAACGAACACGGACAAGAGAAGGCACATGTGCCTTCTCTTGTCCGTGTTCGTTGTCTGCGCTACCATCCATCATCATGCCTTCAGATAAGGCATTCTAAGAATGGGCTTTAACCTATTTATTGCCTGATATTCTGCACGGAGTAATTTATATCGCTACGTCAATTAACCTGTAAATGACCCTATGTGAACGCACAATATACACGCTCATAGTTCTCATTCGTTTGCAAAGTTTAGTCAACTTTATTTCTGTTTGCGTTTGTAGCAATTAAAGTGCTCTTACACGGTGTATTCGTCCGAAAGCCGTGCTTGAGCACGTTGCTAAGAGTTTCAAAGGCGAGGTAATGACACACAGTGTTGTGTTCTCGAGGCCACAAAAGGTTCGCGCGTCTCCTTTTTCTTTTATCACAGGGGGTGAAAAAAAAGAGTATGGATGACTGCCAGTTGGGCGTGTTGGTAAAGGTTCATGGTGAAACAAGCGCTAAATATACACACACTCAAAGAGGACACAGACAAGCGCTTATACTAGCAACTGAAAATTTTATTTCGAAGCGAACACTAATAGATACATCGCACGCATGTACGTCATTCCCAACTTGCCCTATCATCATCAACAACGTGATATAACAAAATATGCACTCCCATAATCGATGGCACACAACCAGAAACAAACTGGGCATACATCCAGTGTATCATTCGCAGCTGCAGGTCAGACCATCATTTTCATGCAAAGCACCTATCGATGGTTCGTGCTGCATGATACAAGCAATACAACCCAGCACATTCACAAAAAAATGGCCTGACACTCGGCAGTTTGACGATGCTGAAGATGCAAGACTGGAGTGGCTCGAGGTCACGCTGTCCATGTACTTGGATGAACCGGAAAAAAGCTGTCGAAGTCAAAAGGAATTTTGACGAAAGAAACGTATGAAGCATTCCTCCTTACCACATATTCCCCAGTTGCCTGTATCAAGTACCTGCTCACAGAGGAGAAGTTCTTGTTTGTGCTCACGCGTAAGTTTAATAGTGACCCCATCGAGTCGCTGTTTGGAACACTGCGGATGTCCTCTGGCTGCAATGACATGCTGAATGTTCGTTCTGTTTTGGAAAGACTGGAGAAGGTTTTAAAAACTGGACTTGCCGCATCCAGCATGACATCAAACGTTGCACACAGAGAATGTGCCCAAATGTCAACAGGCACACTGCTCACTGAAGCTTCTCCTTCGCTAACACAGCAGCCGCCTCAGCTACAGAGAGCTGCATGTGTTTTGCAACGGCCTCAATGCAACAGTCTTGCCTCAGCACTTGCCATCACTTGAGATTTCTGCAACTGTTTATGTTGGGGGCTATATTGCCCGCGTCATAAACGAGCACATGAGTTGTGGAAGTTGCACTGCAGTCTGCACAAAGCCAGCGAGCAATCAACCTATCTTGCAGTTCGCCCGCAGCCAGGACCCAGTTGGGCTACTTTACCCGTCAGACCAGTTGCTGTTTGCCGTCGACGTGCTAAGGGCATTTGCGGATCCTGTTCTGAAGGACAATCCGACTCTAAAAAATCCATTGTATACCCTGGTTAAGTATGCTGTGCCAGCACTTGTGTGCTTCAAACCTGCTCAAGTGCAAGGAGATGGATGACACTCATAGAGCTTCACTTCACTCCACTTCATTTCCTTAAAGACCCCCGAGGGAGTATTATATAAGGGGTGGGTTAACAAATAAAGTTCTGTTTTTTTTTATTGACACGTGTTTTCATTGCGAAAGACGTGCAAACAGTTGGTCGAAAAATGTTGAAGGACAGGAAATGGAGCTGATATCTGTTCGGTTTTTGCGGCCCCTGCTGGTGAACTATGCATTCACTGTCAGTGACAAGCATGATACTTCGCGAAAAAGCCCCTGTCAAGAAAATATGCAAAACTGTGAGGCTACCGAAAATAGAGGTACTTACGAATAAATGTTGCTTCTTTTTTCAAACTGTATTCGTATCGCATCAATTGGGTTAATTTTGCAGAATATAGAGCTGCTACACAAGGCAAGTCAACGTTGGAAATTCATGTACATCATGTCCAAGCATGTAGGTGCGTGCGTACACGGCATGTTTTTGGTGTTCATTTTAGTGCGTGAAAGCTGGCAACCAGATCACTGAAACACTCGGTAACATAATTCAGCGATTACAGCCGCGATGTATTGAGGTTTGAGAGAAGAATATTAAGGATTTAATCTGTTTACTTTTCAGCGCGGAGCCAGAACCACGGCGGCTGCGGCGAGTAGCGAACTTCGGCACCCTGTTTAAGCGGCGGCATCTGGTGTCGAGGCACCGCACTCGCGCCGACGGAGTAGTCCCATTGTTCTCTTCCGCTTTTACCAGGGCATTGAAAGTTATAAAGGAGGCACTGGCGGGACCTTGCAGATTCCCGCTATTCCCGCGGTTTACGAGAGTGCTACATCCGCCGCCCGCTCCGCTTTGGGACGAGCGACCTACTTCGCTAGCTGCGTGCTGCGTTGTGAATCTTTCGCTACTCTGCCTTCGCAACAGACCGCACCATGTCATCGCGCGTTGCTGTGGTAAGAGTACCCGTCTTTGGAAACCGCTTTTGTGAAGGCCGTGTTTGCGGGACGTTGTACGGCACCAACGTTACTAGATCTAGTAACGTTGGTACGGCACTACGTGCTTGAAAAGTCGAGGACATAGACATGGTTGCTGCTGATATGTTTTACATCTCCTCGGGGTGCGTGCTGCGCATGTATGAACGGAGCAGTGAGATGCTATTTCACGCTGTATATTTATCGCTGCAGCCTTGTGCGTGTGGCGGCACGACAGTACAACAAACAAGGTGCAGTGAAGTCATAAGGAAACTGTCAGTCAGTCCTTACAAAAAAATCCTTCTGTGCTTGGCGCATTGCCTATCGCAGGCGATGCGTGCGTGCAATAGCAGACGATAGAAAAGAAATACGCGTCTAGATTTGGAAAATATTCGGAGAGGCGTCCAAAATGCCTTTGCCTCCAGCCTTGCCGAGATTAGAGCTAGCCACGCTACAACGAAAGCTTCCTGGCTCTCTGCAAAGCTTGTTGGTGTCTTGGGGTAAAATTGTTAGCAACTGAATATATATATATATATATATATATATATATATATATATATATATATATATATATATATATATATATATATATATATATATATATATATATATATATGATTGTATTGAAACATTGATAAACAAGCAGTTATTTAAATGCTGATACCTTAGAAGCTGTGGTGTGTGTGTGTGTGTGTGTGTGTGTGTGTGTGCAGGAAAATCTTGGTAATTGAACTCGGTTAAGTCGTGTTTCAGATTTGGATAGGTATCATGTGCTTATGACGGGTCTGTCTTGTTTCCGATTTAGACGAGTGGCGTGTGGTATCTATCGACAGTAAGTTATGCATCAGCTGGTATATTACTTTCAGACGAGCCAGTTTGGCATGATATCGTAGGGTTAGTAGTCCAGCTCTGTTGATTAGTTGAGATGGTGAGGCAGTTTGGTTATACTCATCATAAATAAATCGGATTACCTTTCTCTGCATCTCTCTAATGTTTTTACTAGTTTTTTTATATATGGAAACCAGGCTACATTAGCATATTCTAAAACAGGTCTCACAAATTCTGTATAAGGGAGCAGTTTAATTTGCAGAGTTGCATGTCGTAGTATCAATCGAAGGAAGGAAAGTTTTTTTTTTTTTAATGTTCTTGATGATATGACACTAGAATGAGAGTTCCCAAACAACAAAGATGCAAAACAACAAAATAGGAGCATTTTTTAGCAGATCAGATTTTGAGTGCTGTGCTGGAGCTCTTTGGGCAAGCTACAAACGATGATCATGGGGTTGCAGTGGAAGAAACGGAAGCAAATGAAAATTACTTATTGTTGTTGTTGAATTAACCTTATTGTGGTCCAGAGGACATGCAGAAGAGACCCTGGTTATTTTTAATGTTCATTCCATTAACTCTGCCATGTAAGTGAATATGCTTAAGAACATGTAAATGAATTAAGGCTTAGTACTCACATGAATGCTTGTCAGCATTTGTTTCTGGCTTATCATTGATGAACTAATGCTGTTCGCTGAGATCCATGAACCTAAACAAAATCGCCTGCCACAAACGTTTAGTAACACTTCGTTCGCGTTAACGAGTCTGGAGGTGGCTTCTTTGGGTTCTGCCTGCGCAGTGTGGTGCAATATTTGTACATTTTAGCAGCCGCCCACTAATTCAAACAATTTTTTAGTCCCCCTTGAATTTGAATCAACGAGCTTCTACTGTATGCACACACACACACGCACAGTGTCAAAATGATATTCTTGGCTATTGATATAAATGTACGGGTCACAGTGGAAAACATAACATTTATTCTGAGCTTTCGGCAGGGGACTGGTCTATGTCACAAATGAAGTTGAGTCATTTGTTCAGCTCCCTGTACTGTTTCTTTCGTCCTCTTTATATGTGGTAAATGCAGATGTTCACTCGACTTTGCTTCATGCAAGGTAGTTGTTAGCTATTGCCAAGAGTTTGGGCGTCTGGTTCTGGAAGCTCATGCAATTCTTAGGAAGGGTGACTCGTGTCTTAGCACAGCATCGTTATCTATTAGTAAGAAGGAAATTTGCTTTATAGTTCACCTCAACGTCTTGTGTACCTGTCGCTTTTATCGTTTGCTGACGAGTCTCACCGATGTGTGAACATCTGTCTTAAATTTTTCTTTCACATTTGTTTTAATGTTGTCATGACAATGTGAACTTTGCATAAGCTAGCAGGCTTTGCTTTTCAAAATATTGCCAGAGTCCTTCAATACCTTTACTGGTCGTGAAGCTTCCCCATAACCCTATGGGAGAGCTTTGGGTGCTGCGAGAGGAAGCCGCGGGGTGGCGCTGCAGCACCGCGCGGGGCATCGGGCAGACCGGAGGGAAGCTGGCTGCTAGTGCCACTATGGGGTCAATGCATATTATCGTGGTGTGCCATCGCGTAGTTTTCCACCGTATGATTACTATTGTGCCTAGTGTGCTGTGCCTGAAGATCGGGAAAGATACCATATACCTGCTGGGTACCTGGTTGTCGATCCGGTTACAAAAGAAATGACAAAAAAGTCTCCACGTTCTTGCTGTTTACAGTGATTGGCAGGAAAAGTGGAAGCGCGCAATTCCACGACGAAAAACCGGTGGTTTCACATTTGTTTTCCTGAATGTGCGTGTGTGCGAAAAGCTCTTCGATGAGAGTTACATCGTCCCCGTGGACCACTGGCTAATCGAAAGCGTTCTGAAACTTTTGCCGACGCTGTGCCGAGGATTTTCCACGGCCTATCGGCGTACTTGTTTAGTGCAAAAAGATGCATCATGCGTCGACAAGAAACGTCAGCAAGCTGGAGACTGTTGAGGCTGCATCGGACTGTGCATATGAGCCCCTTTGACATAGCTGCAATGGATAATGACGCATTTCATGAAGGTGAGCATACCGGCTGCCTCTTCCTCGTTCCATGCCAGTAGGTAATACAGAAACTTGATGAGTGAAATGCTCACCGTTTTCAATTATACATGCACTGAAAAGACCAAAGTGTAGAGGTGATATGCCAAACAGGCGGAGCTACATGCAGCTCCTCACAGCTTGAAAAATATCAAAACACACATTCATTGCATAGAACAGAGACTTCAGCGCTACCAATAAAAGTTTGCTAGATGACGGTGCTTGAGAGGTTGCACCACAATGCTGTAAAAAATTTGCGCAAACTGTAAAAGCGTGCAAAGTTAATTTTCTATATCAATGCGTCATGAGCTCGCGAAGATAACTTTTTTGCGTGCCATGTTGACGCCTCCGCGCAGGACGCAGTCGATCAATTTACACGTTTGAGGAGTCATGTAAGACTTCCGTCTTTATAGTAAAAACAGTGAAGAAGAACTGGAAAAAAACAGTATGAGCAAGCTACAGAGCTGAGTAAAAGACTGAGAAACTACATTGCATGGCCAACCGAGCATAGTACGCGTTACGGCACCGTAGTGATAAATTAACATAAAACAGAGCACAAAAATGAGGTATAAAGTGTTGCTTGATCTCATCACTTGCTAAATTAAAAGCACCGATTCATTCAAAGTCGCCGTGAATTTAATAAGTGTGAGGCAATGTTTAAATACATATCTTCGTATATAGAAATACTGAATGTATATATAGCCTGGAAGGTGGGATATGCACTGTCGAAAGTTGCAACCACTGCACTTCCAATATGCGTTAAGAACCTCCAGATTCGTTGAATCACTCTGGATTGTACATAAATGTTCACTAAATGCTTCAGGGAAAAAAAAAAATAACCATGCTTTTATAGCGGTAGCGTATCTTACAATGGAAACATGTCGTCAAATTACTAGCTTCAAAACCTCATTCGATACTAAATTTAACTGTATTAAAGATTTCCCAAGTTTCCTTGAAGCTAATATCACTCTGAAGACCTATTCAACCTTTGCGGCTATATTTAATAACGTTTCACAGCTCCGGCATGGGCCGTACAATTGCTGCGCCGCAGCTGCCTCGATGCCTCGCTGTGCGCAAGGGTGCACCATAGCGATTGCTCCTGTCTCCGTTTTAAACTTTCATCGAAGTTTCATGACCAGTAACAGTATTGAAGGGCTCTGATATTGCCTTGCTGCAATAAAATTGTTTTTACTAGTGCATTGTGAGTCATTCCTTCTGTGTCCTTATCGTTTAAGCATTGTTTGATTTTTTCTTTTCTTGTGAATCACCAACTGGCACAGGGTCAGTTCACTGCTGCTCTTTGTCATTTATTTCTTGTTTGTGTGTTCTGACCCCACCTCATGTCAAGTTCTAACAAATTGTGACTCTGTGTGTCAGCATGAATCTCTCGAACTTTTTTTTTTGCTTGTTATTGCCGTTCCGGCCCTTCCCCTTGCCATATTCCATTGAACTGCGACAGAGTGCGTGTTTGTGTATGCATTGCAGGAATCTGTACTTAAACGTGCATGCAATGTACAAATCTCATGATTGGTAAAGGCTAGTCTCCTGACGTAAGCTCGAAACAAATGTTGTGTTTTTTGCTGTGACTTTCACTTATATATATTCTGATCATCATCAGCCTGGCTACGTCCATTTCAGGGCAAAGGCCTCTCCCAATGCTTGCCAAATGTGATCCACCATCCCTATTCTTCTAGTTATTGCACTCTCATAATTATATATATATATATCGGATCCTGCCCACGGCAAGTTATCTTTTCACACACTTTTCTTTCTTCTCATTTATATTACAATTGGTCTTATAACTTGCCCTATACCTTCCTTGGCATTATTGTTTGTTAGATCTGATTAATATTGTGTAAAAACACGAAAAACGAGCCCTTAGGTATACACTTGTTTTTTTTATTCATTAACGAGGGTCTCGTACTGGCAGACTTGGTGCCTCTAGGTTGTATACGGGGGACTATTGGTCAGCTGCCAGTTAGTAATAAGTTCACGTGCTACGTGAGGCTAAACAGGCTCATAAAGAGTGTACCACACTCGCCGCCATGGCTACTAGTGGCGCTGACTGACACTTCCATGTTTAAATTGACATAGATACCCAATAAAGTGGCTGGGGTGATGGCTGTCGTGGTAGCTCAGTGGTAGAGCATCGAACGCGTTATTCGAAGGTCACAGGTTCGGATCCTGCCCATGGCAAGTTATCTTTTCACCCACTTTTCTTTCTTCTCATTTACATTACAATTGGCCTTATAACTTCCCCTATACCTTCCTTGGCATTATTGTCTGTTAGATCTCATTAATATTGTGTAAAAACATGAAAAACGAGCCCTTAAGTATACACTTGTTTTCCTTATATTTATATATATATATATATACACACTCTGACACATACCATGAGAGCGCCATAACGTACTCTCCTGGTATAATGCTCTTTCAAGGTTTTGAGTTCTGGGGCAAATCCTAAAATCCTATTAGTAGCTTCTTCCCCCCACCCCAAAATAAAAAAATATTGAATTGAATATTTCAGAATCATATAAATTGAAAAACCACTTTTATATATATATATATATATATATATATATATATATATATATATATATATATATATATATATATATATAGTGCTACAAAGCACTGTGTGGTTGTGTCATTTCGCTTACACCCACCGAAGAAGGCTGGACCGCCAGGCAGGAAATTCAGTTGAAAATAAGTATTTTATATTTACACACATATACACGTGTACATCCAACTGATCATTTTCATTAGGAATGTCTTGTAATGTCTGCATCACAGTCGTGTACCTTATCATTGCATAATAAGTGAAACTGATCACGATACTTTTGTGCTTTTGCAGGTCACAGGTGGCAACAAGGGAATTGGGTTCTGCATAGTCAAGTTCCTGTGCCAGCAGTTTGACGGAGATGTCTTTCTGACTGGTGAGTGACTCAATACATAGCTATAGATTTCAAGCTTTACGTTTTCATTTGCATGAACTATAAAACAAAGTGTGCAGTGAAGTTCACATTCTACTTTATGCAAGAAATATAACTTATAATGCTCTTTCAACGGTTCTGAGTTCTGGGGCAAATTCTATCATCAGCTTCTTTCCCCCCTCCCCAAAATAAAAAATATTGAATTGCAAGTTTGAGAATCATATAAATTGGAGAACCACTTTTCTGCATTAGACTGTTTTACTAGTGAGTGTGATATGAACTGATCAGTTTTAAAAGTGACAATGCTTAGATATGATATATGATAATGAAGCTCCTTTTAGATGTCTAATAATGCTCCTTTTTTATATGCAACATGTTTATGTAGATGTAATTGGGCATTGACAAGTATCATGTTATTGATCTGTGCATGCCCTATTGTCTCAGTAATGTACATATAATGTATGCCTTTAAGTCTTGAAAATCACATTTCTTTACTAAACTTGTATCATTGTGAAACTAGGGGCATGTGGTAGCGGATGTCCCCTCATTTTCGACATGAAACAACATTCAGCACAAGAAAGAGAGAGAGAATAAGGTTGATTGAAAGGCAGGAAGGTTAACCAAAAAAAAATTTCAGGTTTGCTAGCGTGCACCTGGGAAAGGAAAATGGGTATGAAATGGTAATGAGAGAATAGCAAGAAAACGAATGGTTAAGGAAAAAAGAAAACATGCACGCACTCAACCACAGGAGTGTCACAGTCGTTTACATGTTTAGCACAAGGTAACACAAGGACAAAAAGGGAGGGCACAATATGTGCACTTGCATTTAACAAAAGGTTTCGCTGCAACCGAAACTTAGATATGTACAATGGTGGTGCTGTACCCAGATGTCAAGTGCAGAGATGTAAATCTCTCGTATTTGTTTTTAACAAGATGTTTAAAACACTTCATTAGCTAATGCACATTTGAATGATTCATTTGAATAATTCACATTTGAACTCTATCCAACAGGGACAGTGTGTTTACCCAATCGATATGCAACTTTATAGTTTTGGCAATTTCTTCAATTAATCTGGTTAGTTCATCACGTTTGGTCAATAACACTGTGGGTGTTTTAAATTAATAGAGCGATAAGCCATTTTTGTTAAAGGTTAGCACTCAAGTTGGGTCTTCCCTTCTCATTTTTTTGTTACCTTGTGCTAAATCTGGTTTTATATCTCACCAACAAAGCTGAATTCCTCCCCTTGCGCAAGCCAATGTGTTTCTGTATGGTATGTTACCTGGCATAACGTTGGCCTGGTCAGTGGCATGCCCCCTGCCCTTTGAAAAATGTTCCTGGTGCACGTAAGCCACTGTTGCCAAGCAGTTCGGGTGCTGTTTTTCATTCTGGTATGTGGCCTACAGCGTCAGACCGTGAGAACAAACGCCACATTTAATGAGAAGGGTATGCGGTTTCTACAGTAGCAGCAAAAATTTAGGCAGTGCAGTTGACATTTCTGGGCACTGGCAGCACCTGAAGCACATTAAAAAAAAAGGTACGACACAAAAATAACAAATTTCAAGTTGCTATCTAGGCAGTTTTGCTTATAGTAGTCCAAAGACATTGCTTCTGCTACGTCACGCTTTAACTTGCAAAACAACACAAAAGCCCCAAGCAGACCTTCCTCATATCCTCACTAGTTCATGCAGTGCATTTCAGTGATTAACTCAGTATAGTGTAAAACTCATAATTAGCTGCAACTGTTTCATCATGGTTTTAATGGCCTCGAATTCAATCAGTGAGAGAAGCCCCTTTGGCCTTCACTGCTTTGCCTGCTCTGTATAAGGGAAATTTAGATGCTGGTTAAAAAAATACCGAAGGGATCAGAATTGATCCATAGCGCCTACCCCCCTCCACACACTGCGGCATGCCTCATAATCCTGTCATGGTTTTGGCACATAAAGCCTTATGAATCATTATTGTTGTATGTAAAGCAGAGTATGACATTTGTTTGCATAGAGCTGAACTTTATTAAACTGTATGAAAAGTTTAAATCTTACGTTGAAGGAAGGCTGTACTTCTTTTGTTCTGAGCAGCCAGGGATGAGACACGTGGAAAGCAGCTGTGTCAGAGCTCAACAAAATGCAGCTGCACCCGAAGTTCCACCAACTTGACATTGACGACCTCCAGAGCATTAAGAGATTCCGTGACTTCCTCAAGAGCAGTTACGGTGGCCTGGATGTACTTGTTAACAACGCTGGCATTGCGTACAAGGCGAGTCTATCTCTTTTTCTCCTCCCAGCAAACTGAAAGACTGTTCTTTGTAGTCTATTCAATAACACAAACCTTTATTGACTACTGTCATAATAGACCAGAGCCTATGGCATTGAGCTGCTAAGCTAGAGAAAGGAAGCGTGATATTAGCTGCATGTAGTGACTGCATATTGGAACCAGGGATGTTACCAGAAAGGTTTTTCAGAGGACAGGTTCAACCATACTTTACGTATGTTTGTGCATGTATTTGTATGTGAACGTGTATAATTACACTAGTAAAATTGAAAAATTTTTGAAAGGGGGGTTGACTCCACTCTGGCTACAGCAGTGATTGGCACTGTCGATTGGGACATTTGGTCTAACATGGCAACTAGCAAATTCACCATGAAAAAATCAAAGGGGTACTGACACAAAAGTTTTCCATTGTCCTTGCTCTCGAAAGCCTGGAAAATGCACTGGTGTTAATGCACCATGAAAAAGTTATTACAGTAGTATGTTTTTAAGAGCTACTTTTGGTTCCAACTGTACCCTAATGTCATGACACTGTATGAGCTTCTTGTAACGCTCTCCCTCAAGCTATCATGAAGTTTGCACAGCTGCTCAGCTCCTTCACCCGGGGGTGTTTGGCATAAGTGTCTATATTTAACGTTCCAAGTGATGCACAAGTGGCCATATCGAATATTTTGATACCTGGCATCACCCCGCCGCGGTGGTCTAGTGGCTAAGGTACTCGGCTGCTGACCCGCAGGTCGTGGAATCGAATCCCGGCTGCAGCGGTTGCATTTCCGATAAAGGCGGAAATGTTGTAGGCCCGTGTGCTCAAATTTGGGTGCACGTTGAAGAACCCCAGGTGGTCGAAATTGCCGGAGCCCTCCACTATGGCATCTCTCATAATCATATGGTGGTTTTGGGACGTTAAACCTCACACATCCATCATCACGGTACCTGGCATCATCACGACTAGCAATACTGGAGCGGAAATCACCAGAATTGACTCTGTATATTGACACCACAACAGTGTCAGTGTTTTTAGGTGGGGCTTCTGAAAATTGATTGTAATGTCAAAATAATATGTCAGCATTTACTGAGCTTCACACTTGCTCGGAGCTTTCTGTGTATGCAAAAGATTTGTATGACAAAGTATACTTACCTTAAAAAATTAGTGTCAATAGACTATAAAATAACACACAAAGACGATGGCTGAATTTCAATGGGAGTGAAAAGCGGAAAAGGCTCGTCTACTGAAATTTTGGTCCATGCGGAAAATTCCAAATTGGTTAATGTTACTCCACAGCTCCACACAATAGTGCACCTCATAATCAGGAATTGCAGGAATCTGTACTTAAACAAGCATGCAATGTACAAATCTCATGATTGGTAAAGGCTAGTCTCCTTACGTAAGCTCAAAACAAATGTTGTGTTTTTTGCTGTGACTTTCACTTATATATATTCTGATCATCATCAGCCTGGCTACGTCCATTTCAGGGCAAAGGCCTCTCCCAATGCTTGCCAAATGTGATCCACCATCCTTATTCTTCTAGTTATTGCACTCTCATAATTATATATATATATATATATATATATATATATATCGTATCCTGCCCTAGGCAAGTTATCTTTTCACCCACTTTTCTTTCGTCACATTTACATTATAATTGGTCTAATAACTTCCCCTATACATTCCTTAGCATTATTGTCTGTTAGATCTCATTAATATTGTGTCAAAACACGGAAAACGAGCCCTTAAGTATACACTTCTTTACCTTATTCATTAGCGAGAGTCTCGTACTGGCAGACTTGGTGCCGTTAGGTTGTATACGAGGGACTATTGGTCAGCTGCTAGCTCGTAATGAGCTCACGTGCTACGTGACACCAAACAGGCTCATAATGAGTGTGCCACACTCGCATCCATGGCTACAGGTGGTGCAGACTGACACTCCCACGTTTAAATTCACACATGAACCAGCAAAGTGGCTGGAGGGATAGCCGCCGTGGTAGCTCAGTGGTAGAGCATTGAACGCGTTATTCGAAGGTCGCAGGTTCGGTTCCTGCTCACGGCAAGTCATCTTTTCACCCACTTTTCTTTCTTCACATTTACATTACAATTGGTTTAATAACTTCCGCTATATATTTATTGTCTCTTAGATCTCATTAATATTGTGTCAAAACATGGAAAAACGAGCTATTAAGTATACACTTCTTTCTCTTATATATATGTGTGTGTGTGTGTGTGTTTGTGTGTGTGTGTGTGTGTGTACGAGTGTGTGTACGCACGCGCGCACGTGTTGCATGTGGCAAGACAAAATATGGGCCAGCTCTGTCAATGGGAATGTACTTGAAAACATGGACAGTGAGTATACTAGACACACACAGCACAACTTTCAACCAGTTTATTTGTTAATGCTACACCAGCGAAGTGATATATGCGTAGGTTCAGCTCTTGAGCAAACTATTTCTAGGCCAGATTGACGAATATCCAAATGATAAGTTTGCATGTTGTAATGCTCTTAGCATTTTAGGTTTCTAAAAAATGTCTAGCAATTTTTTACAAAGGTTGTATTAAAACAGAATCAATGCTGATGCACATTGACCACCATTACGCAGACCCTGGAACTTGCAGATGACCAATGCACTTTCGTTAAATGTATTATAAGGCAACGTTTACGATGCAAGACACGGCCGAGAATCTGCCCCACACTACTGGTCAGACTGATGATAATTAGTACGTACATATGCTAAGATGACGCGTATGACTAATGCTCACAATAATGTGAGAGGCCAGCCCGGCCGCATCTTAGACGAAAATGAAACGTCGAACTAATGGTGTCAGCCCTGCCGCGGCTAAGGTACTCGCTTTCTGACGCGCAGGTCGCGGTATCGAATCCCGGCTGCAGCGGCTGCATTTTCGATAGAGGTGAAAATACTGTAGGCCCGTGTGCTCAGATTTGGGTGCACGTTAAAGAACCCCAGGTGGTTGAAATTTCCGGAGCCCTCCACTACGGTGTCTCTCATGATCATATGATGGTTTTGGGACGTTAAAACCCACGTATCATCGAACTAATGTCTTCAGACGCGATACATGGACAATCTCCGAACCATGACAGCGACGATCTGAAGAAAAGTCGGTGGGACTGACACTTGTGACAACTGTTTATTGATTATTGTGAGAGGTTTGTGTGGGCCCAGCCGCTCAACCGGCAAGGAATAGGGAATAGACAAAGACAGGACGTTTATACAATTTGGACATAACTACATACACGAACTAAAACTGCATACATGCACTCCTAACTCGTGCCAGTCCAGTTCGCTCTACAGGTTTAAAACACGTAGTCACGGTTCACGCAGCCCTGACACAGCGAATCTAGTTCGCGCACCACTCGACATCAACCACTCACGCCACTGTCGTCGAGATGGTCCGACGTGTCGCCGCGTCTCCAGGATTTGGGAAGGTCCCGGAGTTGCTGTCGCACCACGGCTGTCGCTGGGACAGCTGCTTGGTGTGCGGTGGTTGATCGGATCCGTGCTCGGCCACGCCCGAGGACACCCGATAGATCGGCCCAGCACGCTTCAGCTTCCCTGACTCGGCAACCCACGTAGACGCCGACTCGCCAGCAGGTCTCGGCCGTGACCACGAGCACCGTCGTCACCTGGCGTAGCTCGTCGCACGAGGTCGTCTGCAGTCAAGTCGGGACAGGTTGCACGCCGTAACGGGCCGGTAGTCGCCACAACCCTCGTTCTGCCACTGCTGCCCGACTGCTTCGGTCCGACTTTCTTCTTCAACGTTCCGAAGAAAATCTCTCTCACGAGCGGCGGCGCCACGCACCACACACGCACTTTCGTCTTCCTCTATCTTCATTTGCGTCAATACTTTTGTTCGCACTTTCAGTTTCGGTTTCTTACTATAATTATATAAATTCCAATGAAGCGAACCTTGTCGCACAGTCCTGAAGTGCGAATGGGTGTGCAAAGCAACGCTTCATCCTCAGGATTGAAAGAGACGTCGCGATGAAAGCTGTCCTAACATTGCTTGCAGTCTTACTGCTTGGCTTCTCTATTGAGGCAAGCTCGTTGCCGACATTCCTCGAGCCTTGCGATGAACTGCTCTGATATGGTTGCCGAGGTGTCATTTGCAACATTCAGGAAAGAGACCTTGATGGTGAATGTTGGTGAATGGCCATACAAGAGGTGGAAAGAGTAGCCAGATGTTCTTTGAACAGCTGTGTTATGGGCAAACATCACAAAAGGCAAAATTGTATCCCAGTTGTTGTGGTTTGGTGGGATGTGCATCGATAGCATATGTGTTAGTGTCCGATGAAATCTCTCTGTCAGGCCATTAGTGTGGGGGCGGTAGGCTCACGTCATCTTAAGTACTGTGCCACAGGTTGTGAGTATGTTTTCGATTATGGTGGACAGGAACGTCTTGGCGCGATCACTCAGGTGGGCGTGAGGTACACCGTGACGCAATACAATGGTGTAGAAAGAAGTCTGTGACGTCTGAAGCAGAACTTGTGCGTAATGCAGCAGTGTCTACGTACCGTGTCAGGTGATTGACAGCAGTCACAATCCAACGATGACCTGCCGGCATGATTGGGAGAGGTCCGAGTAGGTCTATGCCAAGATGGCGTAAGGTGTCTCGGGACGCGGGATTGGTTGCAAAAGGCCAGCAGAACATGAAGTTGGTAACTTCCACCGTTTAAGCAGAGGGCAAGATGCAATGTACTTGGCCACAAAGGTAGAGATGCCAGGCCTGAAGAAATGTTTCCTGATGCGGCTTCGTGTTTTGTGAAACCCCAAGTGGCCTGCACATGGGTCATCGTTAAAGGCTTCGAGGACTTGGTGACGTAGCGAATGCGGAAGTACTGGAACCCGGCGGTGTCCATCAGTAGTGTAAACGTAGTGTAAGACGAGCAAGTGTGCTGTATAAACGAAGAATTGTTTTATTCCAGTCTGTAACCCCCCTGCTGTAACGCCTTTGAGCAAAGCGGGGTACTCACTGAATAAAGAAAAAAAAAAAAAACGTAACGATG